ACAGCTTTACAAAATAGGGAAACAAGGGAGAAGAGTCTCTGCCCTTCAGTCCATATCTCCTGAAGTAAGTGGATACTAAAAACCCTTCCATTATACTTTACCTCAGCTACCTGCTGCAATGGAGCAGGTTAAAGCACCCGTTTGCTCTCAGGGGCAGCTTCTTCCCAGAGTCTTGACCCCGGAGAACAGACTTATGGAGCTTTAAAGAACTGCAAACATGGGACTGTAGAGTCAGTGCTGTATCAATAGCAGGAAACACAGAGTTCCTGCTAAAGCCCCTTCTTGGCTGGAGGCCATGTCACTGGCAAACCCATATGGGAATGTCCAGTTACATGACTTGCTTATGGATGGGTTGGCTCAAATCCTACAGCATGTCAAAACCTTATCCTCCTTCCCTCCTCTGCCCCTCTGTTGCATTTCAGGAACTATATTTCAGCAATAGGACTAATTATTGATGCAATTAAATCATCTCATTGCTTTGGAAATCTCTGGATTAGCTACTACGAAGAACAGAGATATGTTCATTGTGACCTGAGAAATTAGTGACAATCTGGGACAACTACTTGTAGAACAATTTCAGTTAGGTGGTATGATTTTTTGGAATGGCTGCAGATACTCCTGCACCTCTATTAACTTCAATTAAACCGTCTTCTCAGCAAAATAGTTTAGCCCATATGCATTTCCACATTAACACAAGTTATGCAGCTCCCCAGAGCACTCAATTAGCTTGGGCTTCCTGGCATATGCACAGGGCCACAGAGATGATTTCAGGAGTACTCTTGATTTTGAATATCATTGCTGGTATTAAGGTGCCCAGACTCATCAGTCTGTGTTTGACAGATAGAACATGGCACTCAGAAGTAATGACACATTTTCTAAAGTTTTTTTGATATCTTTGATTGTGAATTGGGTGAACACTGTGTGTTCCTGTTGGGTATACGTTATTCAATGCAATGTCTACTCCCTCATGTGATCTTAGTTTCTGAGGAGAAAAAAAAGAGCAAGAGGGCTTCACAAACCATAAGGATTTTTCTTTTGTCATTTAAACCTTATATGAGCCAGAAAAAAAAAATTTAGGACTGAGTGCCACAGTCTTTGCGGTGACAGGGAGGCAGGTTGTACCTTGCCAATGACTCTGGGTGCAACCTTTGTGGTGTCACATCCCTGATCTACACTGGGACATGGCAGTTGTCTCACACCAATGTCAGGATGTCAGGTTCAGTTAGGCTTAGCATTCGTGTTCTCCCTTCAGGACTCCATGGCATATAGGATATGGAATAAGGTTCTTTAAACTAACACTTTAGTTATTTTAATAATAATAATAGCAACAACGACAATATAAATAAAACTCCTCAACAAAACAGCCTTTACAGGACCAAAGACCATCCTATCTCACCGCATAACATCATAAAATTAACCTAAGCACAACTAAATTTTTCACAAAGGTGTCTGTTACTTACTTGGTTCCCTGATATCACTTCTTGAAAAAATGCCCCCCCGTCTAAGGCAATATATACTTTAGAAACCCAACACATTATTTTTTTTCTTCTTTCCCTTCCCTCACTCATGAGCTTGTTCTTGTTCACTGTTGCCTCTTAACAAGCCTTAAATATTGGTGAAGAGAGATTTTGCTCTTTCTTAGTTTGTTATACTTTACAGCTCCATAACAAAGCATATCTACCCTTTCATTACATAAACACCTCAATATCTGTAAAACACAGGATAACTATAAATTAGTACAAAGTAACCCCACATCTGTAACACCATGATATTTGAAAATGTCCAGAATCTTGACTTAAACCATCACATGTTACTAGTCAGTGTTCTCACTATTTTCATTTAGTAGGACAGAGATATTGTGGTAATATAAATAATGTCAAAGTATATGCAAAAAAATGAACCTTTCTTGAAATTAGGTCTACTGGTCTTGTGGAAACAGTGAAATAATCTGTACAGCCACACATTTCTTATCAATTAGATGCCCACTTACACACTTATTTGCGGCAGTAGAAGTATGAACACAACTTGCATTGAATGTAACATACTTGAGCTTCATTTGTGCATCCAGTCTGCAGAAATGGAAGACATGCTCATATGTAATTTAAGCCAGTGGTTGAAAATTTCTTGGACTGAATCTTTTGAATTTTTATGTTATAGTGGAAATCTCACAGTTTCTGTTACATGAAGCAATTTCACATCTCTAACGTTGGATACAGTATATATCTGCTTTACTTTTACAAATTCTTTAGAAGTCCTCCATTGAACTCTTGGCTGAAAAATACTGATTTAACAAATTCTTTATCTACTTGTTGGTTCACACTGCCTTTTAAGTGTTACATTATACTCTCCCTTTCTTTCTAGTTCCACTCAGTTTTTATGTCTGACCTTAATTTAGAATGCTTCCAATTATTCAGCAATTTTGTTTCTTTTATTGTGCTTAGTGAATCTAACTGAAAGAGCTGATATTATTTAGAGTAAAAAAAAAAGTACTTAAAAATAGAAGCTTTGTATAAAAATGCATCAAAGTGAAATCTTCCAGCCTTGTATCAGCCTCTGTCATTTTTCTGTTTTGTTTCAGAAAACATTCCCAAAGCTTTAAAAGACTTTTAAAGATCTCCTATGAGGCATGAAGCATTAATCATTAATCATTAAAATTAAATCTGCTAGAGCTGAATTTTCAGTCTTCTAACAACTTCTGGGTGTTTCTGTTTTGGAAGAAAGAATTATCTTGTGGTTCAGGAACAGGAGGAAGAAGAAAAAATCTCGAGTCAGTTATCAGTATTATCACCAACTTCCTGTATGATCTTTGACAACCCAGACTGACTCTTTTCTGTCTACTAGAATAAATATTAAAATGGAAAATAAATATGAAATGGGAATAGTAACATTTATGAGTGATGTTGTAGGGAAAACACACAGTGAGTAGAAGATGCCTGTACAAGAAAGGGCCATGAACTGAAAACACTCTCCACATTTACTAAGGACAAAGTCCCACTAGACATACAATGGTTAAAAGCTTCAAAAGGAACTGTGTGTCACAGACTATTTGAAATAGTTTAATCTAGGATAGAGCTCATGTGGACTATATGTCTGCTTGGGGGAAAAGTGGAAAAAAGGAAAACTTGCTCCTGTAAATAGTGGATTTTGGAGAGAAAAAAAATTACATGAAAACACATCTATACATCAGCAAAACCTGTCATCTAAGGCCTACTGGAGATGGCCTTTCTGTTGTTGGCAATGAAGAATAGGGGTTGGTACAAGCTATGCAAACCTTCCTGGGGTCCCCGTCTGTAAAGGCAGTTGGACACTGCTGAATTTTGTGAAATGACACCTTAACTGCCCTTAGAACTGGAATTAGACAGCCAATGACAACTCTGCTAAACCTGTCTATGTTGCTGTCCCTTCTCTAAGGACCATGCACTTTTATCTACACAATGGGCTCCTTCTGGCTTAACTTCAGCTGCCTACAAGTCAGGATTGTATCTAGAGGACACAAACAGCCATCTCTGGAAGACTGAATGAACCATGCTTTGGAGATTTCAAGCTGAATAGTTGTGTGATACAGTCCAAAGCCTTACTGATGTACTTACTCATCAGTCTGGTTGTGCTTTTATTCAAAACATAGTATCTGCAAAAGGACATCTCTGTCAAGAGTATAGAGTTGTCCTGAGTTTCCCACAGGAAAGTTAGATGTCCTCATATGTTTCATCAATAGGTTTACATTCATTTTTCAAAAATGCCCCTTTGAAAACGCGACAGAGTTTTCATTTGGTCTGTAAGTTTTCTATTCAAACCTGCAATTCGTTTGTATAGATAAAACATTCCACTTCTGTTACATGAACTATCTAATCACAGATGGAAATACATGAATATTTTCTCTATTTCCTGGTTTTATTTAAAATATGTACACTCAGGGCATATTACAATAAAAATAATGCATGCATACTGTCTGTGCACATTTACATTTATATATATTACAATATGCTGTACATAGTTTCATATGCCCAAGTAACCATATACACATACAGGAACTACCACTTACTCTGTTTTGAAGAATTCCCGGTGTGATTGGACAGTCATCCTGATCAGAGTTCCTAGACACTAACATAGTAATAGGATGTGGGTGGCTGGAGCTGAGAGGGGTAAAGAACTGCACTGCTTACTTGCTACATTTAAGTAAGCTCCTCTTATTTAACTTGTGCTCTCAGAAAAAAACAGAGTTGTATTGTGTTTCTATTTCAATAAACCACAAATATTAATATTAAATATAACCTAAAGAATACCAACTCTCACTGAACGGTCAAACTGTCAAAGTCTGCCTAAATAAAGGAATCAGTTTTAAAGTCTCTGCAAACACTAGGTTTAAATTATTTTCAAGACCTATAAAGAGACAACAGAAAACATAAACAGCCTGAATTGTTTAAAACGTGTGTTCCCTCCAATTAAATAAGAAACATCTGTCTTGGGATTTTGGAAGTGGATATCATCTATCCACACTGTGCCTAAATGGGTTTGCATCTAGCTTCCAGTGTTCTGAAATAAAATTCCTGCTTTCTGAAAAGAATTAAATAAGCATGCCACATGAGGTCCTTCATCCATCTGAAGAGCCGGAAAGCCCCTTGCTGAAAATAACAGCAAAGACTAGAAATCCTGTTATTTCCAAGACTCAGAGAAGTGTGAGACATGGGTTTTGGGGCTTTGCCTTCTGAACACTCAAAACTATTTTCAAAAGGAGGAATCTAACACAAATACCTTTCATTAAAGAAAAAGAAAAAAGGAAAAAGAAAGGGCAGTTATTAAGATGAACTACGTGTCGATCCTGGAGGTCATACTCCTATTATTTCCCTGGGGACCATGAAGCCCTTCCCTACAAGCGCACATGCATTCGGACCCCCAGGAGGGAGATTTCTCCAGCCAAGTGCAGATCCTCGGATCAAAGCGATCCAAGTGAAGGAATCGCGGCACAGCGAGCGCTGCGCTGGGACCAGCCGGTCACTTACTGGTGTTGTCGAAGGGGATCTGCCGGCAGCGGGCGGCGGGCCAGGCGCAGTAGTACACCGCTCCTCCTTCCACGATGTCGGGCTGCGTGGTGTTGGCTTTGGGGGCTCCCACCAGGACACTGACCCTGCCAAACAAACCGGCAGGTCACCGGGGCGATCGGGACCGGCGGGTGGTGGGTGCTGTCACCCCGTGGCCGGGACGCCACCGTTCGCCCACCGCCTTCCCAAAGGCGCCTTCCCAAAGGCTCCTTCCCAAAGCGCCCCCCGAGCCCGTGAGCCCCCCGGCCCCGGCCGGGCAGGGCGGCCGGCCCGGACCCCGCCACCCCCGGCGGCGGCACTCACGTGCTGGGGTCGGGGATGTAGAAGTCCACCGAGTACCCGAAGTAGCTGCCCGGCGGACCGCTGTACACCGTCCGCTTCTCCTCGTCCAGGTTGAAGGCCACCAGCGCCGGCGTCCACAGCAGCGCTGACAAGAGGAGCAGCGGGCGCTGCCGGCGGCGGGGCCGCCCGCTGCTGAGACGCAGCATCCTCGCCGGCTCTCGCTGGCAGAGCGGAGCGGAGAGGAGCTGGGGAGTGCGGAGCGGAGCCGGGCAGTGCGGAGTTGAGCGGGACAGAGCGGATCGGCGCGGTCCGGCTGCCGCGGTGCGCGGGCGGGGGCGGCGCGGGAGGCTCGGCCCCGCTCGGCCCCGCTCACCCTCCGCGGGGGACGCGCGCTCGGGCTCCCCCTGGCGGCCCGCACCAGGCGCCCGCCCGGCAGCCCCGGGGCAGCTGCTTCGCCCTCAGGCGACGGAGTGAGGGCTGGTGGCTTCCAGTCGAGTTTCTCTGGACCTCTAGCATTGTCAAGAGTTTCAACTCTTGAGTTTAAACAAGTATCAGAGCCCGATACTTGAAAATCCCTTTTGGGAAACTGGAGTGCGTTGAAAAAAGCCGTAGACCTTCATCAGACTGTTATGCCCGGCATGGCTGTTATGAAACAAACCAAACAACCACAACAATGAAAAAAACCCTTCTAACCGCTGGAAAGGTGTCAAGCCGGTCACATCGTTTTGAACGCACTAGAAAACGCATTCCTCTCAAGTTTCTCCGTGGGTGCCCGCCTGGCTACGTAAAGCTTTAAAAAGCTGAAGGGGGCACCTCACATCGGAGGAAAGCCTTGCACTGCTGCGAGCCTTTAGCACCGCTCCGTGCAGGAGCAGGTGTCATGCCTCTTTTGCCGCAGAAATAACCAATACTACTGCATAGCACGTGGCATATAATGGCACTTTTAGAAAGCTCCTCTTGTGATTTCTTCATAAAAGTAATTAAAACAGATGAGGTTGTATAACTCCTGTCCTGAATTGTTCTGCCCCCTGCAAGCCCCACAACAGAGTTTTAACTGGTTAAGAATGTACCAAAAAAAAAAAAAAATCCCTGACTGCCTGAAATGCTCCCTTCCCTTACAAAGCTAAATGGGGTGTCACATCCACATCTTGAGGGGACAGCATAATTTGTATTTTTTCTGGCCAACTCAAAGCTAGGAAGAAAAGGAGAAACATTTTATTTTCCATGTAATCAACTTTTACAAGGAAAAAAGAATTGTTTTTCACCATTTAAAACACAGATGTGTCCAAAACAATATCAGAGAAAGATCAGAAGTATACAGAACCCATTTATAAACATGTTACAGTAGAGTATACCTATGAAAGCAGCTGAGAGTAGTTTTGTTGTAAGGTTCTGGTTTCTTCTGTGTTTGTTTTATTTTAAGTGCTTTATGGCAAGATTGTTCAGATAAGACTAACATTCCTTTTCACAAAAATAGAACTGTGTGTTTATTTCCAGCATTAACTGTGTGACCCTTAGCTGTCCCTACAGGCTTGTAATATTCCTTAATTCTACTTGTCTTACATTTATACAAAAATTACTTTTGCCATTGGAGTGAAACATCACCATTGATGCTATTGCACTCTTTTACATTGAACAAGTATCTCTTAGAGATCTAAGTACCAGTAATAAATTCAGAAGGACCTCAAACACTTGTAGGACTAAAACCTACTCTTAAAAATCATGCAACTTCAAGGCAACTGAAGAAATTTAAAAGTTGTGTTGCCTTATGCTAATAATAATGCCTTGTTATTTTTCAGCACAACAACAGTCAGTTACAGGGCTGAGTGTCTCAAAGGAAGTTTCTGAGGCTTGGAGCACTGCTCAGATTGCACTCCAGACCTGTGGCATTCAGGAGTGAGAAGGCAGCACATTCTGGTACTGTACCCATCTCGTACAGATATATCCAAAACAGAGTTAAAGTTCAGTAAGGAGCACAATAGGAAATAGGTGAGTATTCTCACAGGTGAAAAGTCAAAGGGGCATAGTTAGAAAAATATGCCATCCTGGTTGGTTTGAGCTAAAAGAGGAAAAAAGTGCTTCAAGTGGCTAAAAGTACTAAAACTCGAATGGAGGGCAGCGCAGAACGAAAAGAAGGAAATATCTTTCAAGATCCTGTTACCTCTAAAATATTAACATAGAGCAGTCTCCCTCCCCTTTCCCCTTTTTTCCTTTTTTCCCCTCTCCCTTCATCTAAAGAAGAGATATATTAGTGTTGGATATTCTAAATCAAAGAGAGAAATAAAAAGAACAGTATTTTTTGTTTTTTAAGGATTTGCAGCGTTTCTCTAAATAACCTGGACCTGTTCTGATCACTGGAACCTTATTCCACAACTTGGTTTCCTCAGACTTTAGAAATGTTTGGACTGGACACTGATCTGCACTACTTAAGGGGTAAGCAACTGCTCCAGCTATTGGTAGACTGAAGTTCAGACTTCAGCATACCTGTGGCCTAAAAGATACATTAATTGCTTTGAATATCAAACTAAAAAGTCTTAATAGGCTCTAGAACCAGACTTGAAGACAGAACAGGAAGCTTTTTAATGACCATTTAGCTAAGAGTCCAGAAGTCATTATCTAACTTACAGAATAACTGGAAAGTCAGATGTGGGACCGAATAATTTATGCAGAGAAATGTAAGATTCATGGTGTGGATTTCTACAGCTTAGATTATGTGCAGTTGGTGAAGTTAATATGTCATTATGATCTTTCCAATCTTAAAAACATATCAGTCAAATCTTCTATGAAAATTTTTGCTCAAGCAAAACTTAAACATTAATATTTCATAGAAGACTCTATTATCAGAGCTTTAATGCTTTTTATGCCATTATTTAGGAACGTTCCTGCTAGCAGAGGAAGAGCAAGAATTTCAAAGAATCATATGGGTTTTTAAGATAAATCTTATCAAAATTAATGACAATTTTCCTGTTAAATCTTTTCAAAACATGGCAATACAGAAGCGGAAGTGTCCAAATTCCATAAAAAAACTTACCTTTTTTTTCAGTTGTTTCCTAGTTTTGTCTCTGTAGGCTGATGCCATTACAAAAAGACAGTATTTTGTACTTATTATCCTGTCTTAAAGCAAGAGGATAAAACAAGGATGTGACCATGCTCTACAAACAGAAGGAGCTTGTGGGATCCGAATTCAGGATGACATGCCAACAGAAGATGTTCAGCTTTCTGTTTTGAACCTTACCTTTGTGAACAACGTCCCAGTTAAAAATCGTTGCAAAGTAATTCATATGTGAAAAGCATTGAAGCTAATTTTAGAGAGAGCAGACTATATCTTCTATCAATCAAAGCATACAGACTGGAAAATTTTTTTTCAAGAGATCTTTTCTTTGCCCTAAACTCATACTCACAGGAGAGAATAAAAAAGTATACAGATGGACCAGATAAGCAGAAATTTTAACTATCTGAAGGATAAAAACTATCCAGAAACCAAAATGCCCAGCCAGTATTTAAGTGATCCCCTGCTTTAAAGGGTTCTTTGTGTGGACTATAACAAGGGTATTTGGATTTGGCTGCTTACCTTGAACAGTTCAGGCTTTAACAAAGCAAACACGTAATTGTTAGCCTTCAGCCTTCAAATATAACTCACCTAGGCTAATATGATGCACTGAAAGTAGTCTTTCCATTATTTATTTACATAATTTATTTAGAGTATCTTGACTGTGAACCTCAGTATACATTGAAGTGGGAATAATTTCTTTTACCATTTAGACAGCAGTTGACCCCAGGACCCTTTTTTCCCCCCCTCATCATTTTATTATGAAAGTGAATTTAAAGTGAAGAGCTACCAACATGTATCTGAACAACTTTCTGCCTCTAAAGGCTTTGAGACATGGGAGGAAGAACCCAGTGTTCCAGACCACCTGTCCAACGTCCTGCTAACTGTACCATGTTGCCAGCTGGGACACCAGTTGTTTCCCAGAAGATACTGATCTTTCCTCTAAAACTGAACCACTGTGCAATATGAAAAAAAATCATCCACCTAGAGTATTAATCGAAATGTAATTTAGTTCATGTGCTTTCTTACATTTAGCACAATCAATTTGCTCTGATTAGTTAAGGCATGTATTTAATCCCATGGAATGCTCTGGTTTTATTTATTTTATTTATCGACTAGGCCTCAGTTGCAAACTGCAATATATACACATGCACATACGTAGCACCTGGAGCACATCAACCTCTGAAAATTACGTAGGTTTCTGGTCATTTTTCAATGAAAACAAATCTAAATTACCAGACATTAATATCCCACATATTATATAAGTCTGCCGTTTAAATAAGCACACTCTTATGGGACAAAGGTGAATTTTCATAAAGGCAGAAGCTCTCCCATCTTGCTTATCAGGGAAGAAAGGATAGAAAAGTTCACTTGGCAGAGGCTCTCAGATTAGCTGGTTAGCCACTATAGTCCAAAAATAAGAAGCCAGGCCTCCAACAACTAGGCAGTATGAAGGAAAAGGGATACAGGAGGAAGGGGTCTTATACCACACCATCATCAGCTAAATTTCTCTGGAGTATAGCAGAAGTTTTAATCCAGAGTAATGCTTATATATAGATCTCACATCACCTGGGCTTCTAATTTTTTTTTCCTGTGAGACAGAACATAAATTTTATCTGACAGTGGACTAGAGAAAAAAGGATGTTTATTCTAACAATCAAGCTATGATTAAGTGCAAACTCTGGTGTGAAATGCTCTTGCACAAGCCAAGACAGACAACAGAATTCAGGAGAAAGAGCAAGAAAAGTGAATTTTCACATTCCAAGGCATCAGTAGAAGCCTGCCTAAAGACATTTATCTTAAATGTGCAAAACCACTTAAAGGGAACACCTATCAAGTTGAGTATTTACTGAAAAGCAAAGTTTCACACTTGCCAAGCAGATTATCTTCATTTATTATCCATACTTTTGAGTAGTACTACCACTGTTGCACAAGCCTTTTCACATCAGGCCCACACCACAACACAGGAAACTTGTGTTCAAAGTAAGTCCTAAGATGAATTAAGGAATCTTCTCAAATTATTGTTATTTGCAAAGGTATTATTTTTTTCAGAAAAAGAAATCTGAAAAAAAGTTAAGATACTCTGCTGTCAGTTTACATTAAATAATGGTCATGGTAATTTCTGAAGTTAGGAAATTACCTTTTGGTGTGGGTTTT